GCTGAATAATTTTGGTGCACACTCTGCGATAAAAGGAATTCTTTTTTTAAATGCTATTCTATGTATTAACAATGCAGCCCCGTCTCACAATAATTACACTCCTATACAGCTGAAGTGCATTTTCTTTTGTGTGTTGAAAGAAATGGAATTGTGTTCTGAACATAAAAAAGAAGATATTTTTCAAACGAGACTTTGGTGCAAACAAGCAGCGTTCTGAATATTTTGTACATTTCTAAACTGTGCAATATCACTTTTTTCTACACATATATCTACTTAAGGAAGAATTGTGCAATATAGATCTAAGCTATAAGAATCCAAGCTATGCCATTGCTCTGTGCAATGTTGTTATTTTTCTCATATTTGATTATGCACACACTGAAGAATCCGCACTTATAGATATTTTTATTTTCTACGTCTCTGCACCGTCCCCTTTGCTGCTGCAGCACTGCAAATTTCCCCACTGTGGGATTAATAAAGGCTGATCTTATCTTATCACAGGAAAGGCTTCCAGTTTAAAAGAGCCATAAAGTCTGGATAAGGAGGCAGGATGGAGGCATAAGTCAGCTGCAGGACTTTCATCCGGGAGACTCCTTTTTTTGCTCCTCGGTTTCTGTTTGATTAAGCTCCAAAAATACGTTTAGGTTTGGAACAATATGCTCACAAAGATAGTTGAGTTTAGGCGTCAAAACTACACGGAAAATATTGTGATTTGCTTTAAAATGCGACTCGTTCACCACACGTGTGAAGCTTCTCCTCCATTCTCTGGGTTTTTAAGGGTGATGTGTTCCACCCTACCTAATATATTGTAGGAAAATAAACAGCAGAGATATATTGATTTGAGACATATCTGTGAACAAGTGTAATCTGGCTAATGTTGCACAGGAACATCATTTTTGGGGAGACGGAGCTAAACAAGCGTACTGAGAAATCTAATTCTAAACCAACACCACTTCAACAGAAAATAAATTATGAAACTGTTTTGCTGCGAGTAAAACACTTTGATCCCCTCCTCATGCAGCATACATACGATAACTTTCTGGAAATTATTAGCGTTTCTGAACTTGATCCGACATCGTTTCCCCGAGCCGGAGTGTTTTCACCTTGATAAATTGATCACTTAGCAAATGAATTAATTATCATTTTGGAAGAGACACTCCAGCATTCGAGACTGACCAGACGAACCAGAAAGCGTCTGAATGGAGCCCTCACATCATTTCGCCGGGCAGCCATCTCATAAGTACTTTGTGAATGAAATGGAGCAATCCCAAAGGTAATTGTGACTGTGAGCCATTTTGTGCTATTTGGGTAGTGAGGATGTCATAATGACAAGCAGTCCTCTTCACTCAATTGTTGTCATTTTTCACACCGGCCGCCATTGTTTCCAGTGGAGATTCGGTTTAATTGATTCAGCTTTAAATACAAAAAAAAAAAAAGATAACTGGAGACTCGTCTTTTTCTGATAATGTTCTGTAAGATTCTGCATTCACCACATTGAGTCAGCTGAGAGAGCTGGAATAGCCTATTGTGCTGTCGGTGAGGAAATTCTCAGATTCGCCCGCATGATTCGAGTGATTCTGTCAAACAGATGGGAGTGATTCAAATTAGATAAAGGACTCCAACTTCCCATGTATAATGCAGAACGAGAGCACTTCCTTTTCCCCTTAAAGAGATCCACTTCCCTCCTCTGACCTCATAAAGTAAGCTACAGTACGTTTCTTCCTCGCACATTCTTCTCGGTTCAGCATTCTGGGAGTTGCTTAGCAATCCGTTTTTTGTTCGAGCCTTTCTCGACACGTGTTCATGTGCAAATGGGACCGCGGCGGCAAAACGGCGACAACATCTCGGTTAATAATACATCCCGTGAAACCTATTGGAAAAAAAGAATTGCAATTTTTATTTGTATTCATGTACAGTATGAACTACAATCTCAGGTATCAATAATTGAACATCATCCTCAGGGAAATTAGTTGGACTCCTTACAAGCACAGTCTCTTGTTGTTGTTGTTGTTGTCGTTGTGTTGTTGTTTTTTTTTTTCTTCTTTTTGTTTTGCTTTTTTGTCTTTTTTTTAACAATTGAAGCACATGTAAAATTATGATCTGAAGATTTTTTTTTTTTTGCATCATGTTTTTGAAAATATTTTTTTTTTGTAGAAATTTTTAACCATGTGATGATTATTCTCTCCAAAAATGAGAGAGAACGTTCCCACATACAGTAACCCCCTCCCCATACATGGACAGTTGGCAGAATAACACACAAGAATTTGATCACCTTGGCTAAGGGTTTTGCACAAAAAAATCAAGCTCACTCTGCTGGTATTTCAAGTCCAACATTCTGCATGTCAGTCTTAATTTCATTCTGGCGTTCGCATTTTTCTCCCCCCCCCACCGCATAATCCATCATCCTGCTAAAGCAAATACCAACACAGAGATATTCCATTCATTCTTAGGAACTCACAACCCTCATTCCCAAATATATATATAAAAAAATCTGAACCTTTTTTTTTTTTTTTTTTTTCACTGTAGCCAGCGTCAACATTGAATCATTAAGCCACCAAAAGCATTGAAAAGGAATTGAGCATTGGAAAAAAAAAAAGGAAACAGTGGAAAAGGGAAAGAATGGTTTACTCATTGACATTACCATTGACGGTACTATTCCCATCATTCATAACGCTCCCTGAAGGGCTGGCGGTGAATAGGTTTCTGTTTCAATTGTTCTTGCTCCATTTACAGCTTCATCTGTCCTCACCAGAGGACCGGTCTTTAAATGCATGTGGTGTTTTTTTTGCTTCCGTCTATGTTTGTTCACCATCCCACTGCTGTTGTAGGAGACAAAAGAATAAATTTAAGCGACCGGCTGATCAGAAGCTTATGATTTTGTGAGTGACAGTGCTTTGTTTTTGCTCATATTTTTAAGCTATGGTAGCAGTCTTCACAGAGATGAAAGTCAATAAGGCGAGTGGAACTGCCGCACAGTTAAAACTGTCCTATTTTTTTTTCTCCCCCCCTGCATTATGAGGAGATTTATTTTAAATAACTCAAACAGACACGCCGCACTGCAAAGTGACATCGCGTGTGGGTCGAATGCCTTCGAAAAAAAAACCCTCCCGTAAATATGCATCCCATAATGCCAGTCTTGTCGGTAATCGGTCGCGTTTTCGCGAGAATCGCCAGTGGGAAATTAAAATATGCTTGTTGCACAGAGACCAAAGCGAAAGCCATATCTACCTTCTTCTTACTTTCTGCACAAGGTCACTGTTTCCATGGCGACAGGCTGATGGCTAGTTTTTGCCTCCTTATTCCTTATCTATTTTTCACTCCTCTCCCTTCATATCTGCAATATCTCTGTTTGAAGACCCCTCATGACTGTTGTGTGTCTGCCTCCCCACCTCCTCCTCCTCCTCCTCCTCTTCCTCCCCCCACCCCCACCCCAGCAGCTCTGCTTCTTCTTCTTCTTCTTCTTCACTTTTCACTCCTACCTTCCTCTTTCCCTAAGCCGCCCCTCTTTGAAAGACTAAATGAAAAAGCAAAGCGCAAACAGACAGGAGAGACAATGTTTTGATAAATGATGCAGCATCAAAGTGTGTGTGCGTGCGCGCGCGTGCGTGTGTGTGTGTTTTCCTCCGACAAAAATGAGACCGAGCAGGGGTCGCTTCAATATCAAAGGCCTCTACCCCCCGTTAGATGTTGGGCACAGGGAGAGTGGAAAAGTCTCATGCTGTTTTCTTATCAGCTTTCCTCTGTTAGTCTGCAAATGAACTGCTGATACAGATTAATGGGCTATAACCCATCTCCCCCTTATTTTGTTGCAGGTTTTCTAGCTGCTTCACTGACTGCGTTAGCCCCGTCTGCGCCAGTCGGACAGGGTCACACTACATTACAAAGCAGCCTCATTTGCCTCTTTATCTGGACTAACAGATGGACTATCAGCGCCTGAGCTCGTGTGACCCTGGGGTGATGGCAAAGGTAACGCAACACTGAGTGGACGTAGATCATTACTGGGTTAACAGGGAGGCTACAGACCGCAGCCTTATGCTCCCCTTCATTTTCCTAAGCAATATTCCTGCCGTCGCGCGGCACATGCCTGGCGGATAAAGCGAGACAAATGAGACACGGCGACGGGGTGAGGAACGTGCCCGAGCTAAGTGACGGGGGAGACAATCAGAGAAGCAGGAGGAAATAAGAGAGCAGAGATGGGGGTAGACGTGGAGGGTTAGAAAGAAAGAAAAAAAGAAGAAGAAGAAGCAGCAGTAAAGGTAAAGTGCAAAGAAAATGTAGGAGGGGAAGTGGGAGCAAGACCTTAATCTTAATTGAAGTGAAGGCTGCATGGCTGTTGTTTCGGAGCCACGGGGGAAATGCACATTTACTCGTGGCAGCTTCGCTCCTCAGGCACGCTGACTTCACTGTGATATCATCCAGAGCTGCGTCATTAAGAGATCTAATTTTGTGTTAAGTGACAGCTAGAATATGATGGTGAGGGGAAATAAGCCAGTTTTCCGTCTCATAAACTTCCCTCCAGATTGGACTCGGTGACCGACCAGCAAATAAATGCTTAGAAATTCCTCCAGTAAAACCGTGCTGTCGTCAGGTAAATGCAAAAGTGTAAAATTAATGGCGTTACATTAATTTTAGCATAAGGCCAAAATGTACACATTGAAAGCTTCCCTTTTCCCGCTTTGAGGAAACCATTCTTTCCCTTGTGCAGTATTACACAGAGAGAGAGAGAGAGAGAGAGAGAGAAATAAAATGAGCTAAAAAGCTATCACAAATTTGTTTTTCTTCATTTAGCCACTAGACATATTTTTAATAAATAATCTTTGTTTTTGTAAAGACACTTTTTAAAGTATCGTATGTCGTCCCTTTGCCAAATGCTGATTAATTGCCATAGTCGACATCGACTCTGTCAAGTCAACGGCGTCTGATTTATCTTTTATCTTCACGTTTTGGTCCATTGTACTCCAAGTGTGAAACTGCTGATACTGGATATTTAGTCAAACTTAAGATCAGATTTGGGTCTCTTGTACGTTGTCTTTTGAGCAGGCTTGAATCAGTAAAGGTTCCTGTGTGGCTGAGCTGTGTATGGTACTGAGCATGGGAGGGTGGTGGTAAGTGCTCTTGTAGGTGTTGTAGTGGTTGTAGTGCTCCAGAGGGGGCAGCGATAGGTGTCTCTCCATGGCGGCGACGCCCGCCAGCTCTTCTTCAACCGTAATCACCTCCATGGACGAGGCGGGGCCGTCGGGATCCTGCTGGTTGTGCTGCTTCCTCATCTTGTAGAAAATAACCAGCAGGACGGCGGCCATGAGCGTGATGGCCACGAAGCAGCCGATGATGATCTTGGTGGTTTTCATCACCTCGTCCAGGCCGTTGGGGGATCCTTCGCCGTCCACCTCCAGAACCGGAATGGTGTAAGTCCGCTCTGTGGTCCTCGTTGAAACGGGAGTGCCTTTTGTCGTCGACGATGACACCCAGCCGAAAGGTGGAAGCGGCGTTTGGTTGTCGTCCCCCGGGGTCTCGATGGTCTCCACGGTGACTGTGGTGAAATAGGTCACCCCGCTGTTTTCCACGGAGGTGACGTTGAGCACCGCGGAGGCAGAAATGTTGCCCGCCGTGTTGCTAACCATGCAGGTGTAAGTCCCGGTGTCCTGCATTGTGACGCTGGTAAAGTTCAGTGTCCCGTCATTGAGCACAGACAAACGCACCTTGTAAGCCCCGTGTGTCACCAGCGAGCCGTTTGGTGTGAGCCAGCTGATGGAGGTCAGCGAGCTGGTGCGACACTTAAGCTCCGCCCCCATGCCTTCCGTCACGTTTAAGTCACTGGGCGGCTCCACAATTACAGGAACGTCGCACTGGAAGTAGCTGTGGTCCAGTTCTCCAATGTAGCGACCTTTAAAGACTGCGGGAGTATGGCAACGTGCACAGCAGCTGGTGTTGGCGGGTACTGTTTCCTTCAGCCACCAGCTGAGCCACAGAATATCACAGTTGCAGTTCCAGGGGTTGTGGTGCAGGTGGACTCGCTCCAGGCGATGCAACGGCGTGAAGAGGTCATGCGGTAGAAAGGTAAGGTTGTTGTGAGCCAGGTTGAGCTCCACCAGCGACTGAAGGTCGTCGAAGGAATTCCTCTCGATGGTTTGGATTTGGGCATGCATCATCCACAGCTTCTGCAGGTTCGCTAACCCCGTAAATGAGCTGGGCTTGACAATGGCGAGCTGGTTGCCTGACATTTCTAGCTCTTCAAGCCTGATCAAAGGTAAGATGTTGGGGATCTCCTTGAGGTTGCACATTCCCAGGTTCAGGTAGCGCAGGTTGCTCAAGTCCTTGAAAGCTCCGTCAGAAATGTAGGAGAGACGCTTGAGCTCACCTAGATCCAGCCTTCGAAGCGAGGGGACCCGGTTGAAGGCATAAGATGGTATACTTTCGATGGGGTTGTTCCGTAGCCACAACTCCTTCAGCTTGGACAAGTACTCAAATGCTCCATTGGGGATTGTCGTGAGCCGATTATCAAAGAGCTCCAACGTGTTGAGACTGGCCAGCCCATTGAAGGCGCCAATTTCGATGCTGCGGATGTGATTCTTGCTCAGTTGCAGGATCTCCAGATGGCGCAGGTGCTTGAAACTGTCCACCTTGATGACCTGAATGAGGTTATCCTGGAGGTTCAGGTAGCGAGTGTTGGTGGAAATGCCATCGGGGACGTCTCGTAGGCTGCGGCGGGTGCATATGACTTTGCTGAACTGGTTACTGCATGAGCAGACGGAGGGGCAGGTCTGAGCGCGAACCAGCCCAGCCACCACCAGGATCTGAAGGGCCAAAAGCAGCACAAAGAGGGGGTTGGACAGCGCCCCCTTCAGCCTACGACCTCTCATTGTCTGGCGCTGGAGGGAGGAGATCATTGTGTTCAGCATTCATAGTTCATCTGCTGTTTGTGTTCTCTGCAAACAAGAAGACAAAGAGAGAGAAAAGTATTTAGTGACCAAATAAAGTAGCAAAGAGATCATTTCCTATGTTGTTGTTGTGACTTATAGGTTTCAAACTAAATCATTCTTAGTGCTGATTAGTCAATAGAAAATTTCACTTTCATGCTTCTGAAATATTGCTTCTCGTGTGTGTTTTACATGATTGTAAATTGAATGTCTTTGGGATTTGGACTGTCGATCAGCTAAAACAAACAATCCGAAGATGCAACTCAAAGCTCGGGGAAATCATAAAGGGCAATTTCTTTTGACACATTAGATCTAACGACTCATCAAAAATTTATCAACAGATTATTTTATAATGAATTATGCAATGCATTTATACAGCGCGACGTGCATGAAATGATAAAAGAGCGAGCGCGAGATGAATTGAAAGCTAAAATTAATTGTCAATATTGCCCATTTGTGTGATATGAAAAGGCTTCTTTTTGTCAGCTCACTAAACCTGGATTGTCCCAGATTTCCAGACTTCACAGAAGGTGATGCATCTACACAGGAGACCGAAAATGAAAAACGAGAACTTAGCATCTGCCTCCCATTGGAGCCGGACCTGAGAATTACTCGTAAGCCCCCTTCAGTCATTAGCCTGGAATTATTTAATACACAAAAGCCTTAGTCATGAAAGTTTCAAAAGATATAGTGCATTACGTTGGAGTTATACTTGGACCCCTTTTTTCTTCAGGGCAAAACATGTCACTAACACTCGAGCATTACGCTGAATTGGGCCCGGCGCTTTTACAAACAAAGACTGTCAGATTGCAAATGAGACATTTGCACAGATTTGCTTTAAACAATGCAAAAAGCAGTGCAACCTGTGAAATGTATGCACTGGGAGACAAAAAAGTCCAGCTATTCTTGGCTGAAGTTGTATTTTGGCTTATGTTCTGATCTAAAACACAACAAAGGATTACCAAAGTCACTCTTGAGTGTTTTCCAATGCCAACAAAATGAGGCTAATTTTCTTTTTCTTTCTACTATCTCCACTTTTTTTTTTTCTTTCTACTAATGTTAGCTACAGTGTGTCAATTGCCTTTGAAATATTTTACAAGATTAATTTCCGGAGGTCTCACAAACAACATTTTGTAGTCATTCACGATTAATGCTTTTTTATTCAAAGCAATATTGCGGTGCTGTTTACTTTTCATTGCGATCCAATTTATCATCACACCAATATCTCTGACAAATAACTCAATTCAAGAGTGCGCAGAGGTCTGATATTGTCCTTGCATAACTATTGTGGATTTTATTATCTCCCGAATCAAGTGACTAACAAGAAACTCGTTACTCCGCTATCTTAGATTGGATTAAATTAGATTAGATTAGTCCATTCAGCCGACATGTCTAGGAATATGCCTGAGTATGCTGGAGATAAAAATAGCAGGGATTCATACACATACAGTACAGCTTGTGCCTTCCACTTCCACACTGCAGTGTTGATGTGCTGCTATCAACTCTCACTTTTATTTTTTTCCCCTTCCTTCCTCCAGCCCCCCCAAAGACGGTAACCTACAAATAAATCAATGCATGCAGTATGACAAACACATCATATATGTGATGAAAGTGTGACAGCGTTGTGTCATGCTGTGCTCGTAAGTGCCACAGACGCCATTCTTCAGTGCAGTTAATGCCTTTGCCGGGAGCAAAGCAGTCTTGCCTATTGCAAAAAGCATTAACCTTGCTTACTAGGTGCTTAGATTTAAGTATTCTCCTTTTCTCTTTGCAGCTCTTACAACCGGAGTTATCCGCTAATCATCTCTTTCTGTCAACCCACGAGCAAGGAGAAACAAGTATATTATGACAGGTGTTTTCTAAACTGTGAGAATTGTTAACTGAGGTGGAAATGTTCTCCGGTGAGGATGAGTGGCTGACTTAATCAGTAGAAATGAGTCTACATGTGGTCTGGTTTTTGCACCAGCCAGCCTGCCTGCCACGGCGGCGGCGGCGGCGATGTAGCGGAGGCTGTGGAGAGACGAGCCTCTGCTGGGGAATCAGATCGAATAAGGCCTCCCACTGGCAGGAGCTCATTTTGTCTTGCTGGAATTACAACAACCCTGCACTGCCACCTAAGAGAAGAAAATGTCAGACACGGCAAACACACCGATAGTGATTATCTGCTGTCAATAAAGCATATCAGTTCGCAATTACACTCCGACGCTAAAAGAAACGAGCACTTCTGGAGTAATTCTAGCTCTTGGCCACATACCTTCTTCACGAAGCGTTCGATCTGAATACATTTTAGCGGCACACAATGCCTCATTACATAAAGGGATGGCACGTATATTTGCAGGATAAAACATGTGCTTCAAACAACCTTCCTGTCTTTGTTGGTGCAACACTGGGTGGATTAATTTCATCCCGGCACGCTCGACGTGTATTCAGAGTCACTGAAAGCAGTAGCTGCTTACATCTAAAATCCTGCCAGCGACATAAAAACACACCCACCCTTTACTTTTTCTGCTTCTGCACCAGCAGCCACTGGCGTTATGTCTGACAATGCTGCGAATTTTCAAATTCATTCCTCATGATGAGTTTGTTGGGAAAAGATAACGCATGCACACAGCAGGAGCAGCAGCACTGTATTAGCGGTAGCATTTAGGTTAGATTCAAATTACATCATCACATGATTACAATTAGCTTCAATTAGCAAAATGTGTTCGTTTAGACGTCCTCAAAGCACAAAGATAAGAAACAGTTTTGTACTCTCATGGCACGAACATGAGAAGAAATGTGTCAAAACCGCTCGACACAAATCAAACCGAGGAAGACGATAAATGTTTGAGGAAGAAACGTAACAAGAAACGTTGAATTATGAAGCGACTTGCTTTGCCGTCACATTTTGTTGTTTGTCAGTAGCTCGCTGGTGAGACGTTTCCTCCCCTCAGAGTTCTAAAGGGGAATCTGGATTGTTTTGTGTACAATAGGATTATTCCAATCAAGTGAGAAAAAAAAAAAAAAGTCAGTAAACATCTGAAATCCAGTAAACGACTCAGAAGTCACATGTTCGGCATCTAGGTGCTAATCTCATGTTTGTCACAAGATTAGAACCCTGATTCTGTCACAGTTAACACCTGATGTCATTAGCGCTCTGCGGGGAGCACAAATCCTTTTCACCTCCTACGTCACATGCACTTCAGCCCAAAAACATTCATACGCGTGCCAAAATTTGGATTTACGGTGAAGGTGGCATAGACAGAAACACATGTAGTTAGAAATATGTGAGAAATTGTAGATATATCTACATTTTGGCTAAAAATGCAATGTCCAAAATTGGAAAACTAATCGATTGGAAAGCCTTAATTTGCTCCCACGGCAATCAAAGGCTTCTTAAGACTGCTAACGAGCTTTTTTTGCACATGCCCAGTGGGGTTTAGTTCCACTCCTCTTTTGCAACAACCTCCAGGTGTTGGAGGTTGGACGGCTTCCTTGTCATCACTCTTCTCTTCAGTTCCCGTCACAGATTCTCGATGGCATGCAGGTCTGGACTTCAAAACGCTGACATTGTTCTCTTTTAACCGTGTCTTCGCCACTTTGGCTCCGCGTTTTGGAATCTTTGTTATATTGGAAGGTGCAATGCAGCCGAAGGCCAAGTTTTTCTGCAGAGCGCCTCATGTTTTCCTCCAGAATCTCAATGTAGTCCTCTCTTCTCATGATGCCATTGACTTTGACAAGGTTTCCAGGCCCGTCGGCGAAAAAAACACCCCCAAAGCATGATACACTCCCACCACCGTGCTTGACCAGGGGGATGGTGTTCTCCGGGTTGAGTGCTTCTCCTTTCTTTCTCCACATGAAAACCACATCCCCGTGTCCAAGCAACTCCACTTTTGTCTCATATATCCACAGAATTGAAGACTGCTGTCTGCCCGAGTGTCTGCCTCAGATTCATCAGGACAGCTTTGGTGCTGGTCCTCGGATTCTTCTTTTCCTTTTGTACCGGCATTCTTGCCAGCACAGAGGTGACTTTTAGTGTCCTACCACGCCCACTGATATTTCTCACCGTGTGGAACTCGGTGCACTTTTTACTATGATTTGCACTGTGGCAGCTGGCACTTGAAAACACCTGAAAATTGCTTTATAGCCTTTTCCAGGCTTGTGCAGCTCTCGCTCAGCGATGGACTCTAACAGCATCTCACTGAGCGCTTTAGTTTTAGCCGTGACTTGCGCTGGACTTTTGACTGACTAGAGAACTGCTGCATCAGCTGCTCCTAGTTTATAATGGTTAGAATGCTTGCATTTTACCTTTTCTTCAAAAACTGTGCAATAATTTTAGATATGCTTTTGAAAAATGTGCAAAGGAGGGGAAAAAACCCAGAAAAATAAAAAATAGTAGAAATTTATAATCATCTTTTGTCACTTGTTTAAACCATTTTCAATTAAAAACATCACTGTGAATAAAAACATGGCAGAGGAATGAATAATTTTAGTATATTGCCATATTCCTTCATGAGATATATGATCAATTATAAAAAAAATAAAGTCACTGGAAAGAAGATATTCTTAGATTTACTTTATTTAATCAGTTACTTGCTGCAGTGTTTTGTGGAGAGAAAGCACCTAAACAAAGGCGATGCAGATGGAGTCACGTCGTCTATTAGACCAACGCTGATCGGCCATTTGCTGCCGATCCAGCGAGTACGAAATTGAAAGAATGAGTAAAATGTGAAGTGTTATGAAAACTGGCAAGTCTCATCATGACGAAGAAAGAAGCCCGTGGCCACTACGAGGGCTGTCTGACGAACTGAATATCAACCCGCTAATTCATTCAACACATTACCGATTCATTGCATTTGCATACGTTTGTTGCTTGTCTTGTTTTTAACCTCGTTTGTGCTGATGTTGTAACCTCGCGGGCCATCTGGGTTTACAAGACCTGGGCGCAGACGGCGCTCCTCTGAGGTACAGATGGATAGCAGGTCTGCTGTATCAGTGTTGAT